GAGAAAGGGGCGTGGCAGCGGTTGGGGTGTCGGCGTTGCCTATAGCGGCATCGCACAGTTGAGCGGCCATTGATGGAAATTTTGTACGGTTGAACAGCATTGGCATGGCACAATTGAGCATGGAATGATGAATTAAGTGGAGAAGAGGGTACTCCTACTTTGGGGGTTTTATCTTTTAACTCCTATTTTGGGGTTTAATCATTGTTTTACTCCTATTTTGCTCCTTAACCCATACAAATATATAAAATAAAATATATGCTTCTCATCTCAAATTAGAATGTACTTTTGAAAACAAAAGATTTTTTTTAGAGAATATAACAAAAGAAAATGAAAAATAAAATATTGTGTACAAAGTAAAAATAATAATAGTTTGAAAAGGTAATAATAGTCTTTTTCTTTAACTCCATATTTTATGGGGCACACCGTGTGCACCCTATTAGATTTGATCATGGTTTAATACACCGCTCTCATTGAGCGATGGAGACCGGAGGTGCATGCACCCTATTATAAATTTGAACTTCTTTATGTTCTTAGGGGCTGTTTGGCAACTTCTGAATAGGTAAGTGCTGAACCAGTAAAAGGTCTGAACCATTAAGTGCTGAACGAGTAAGAGGTCTGAACCATTAAGAGTTAGTATATTGCTTAACTATTCAGGGGCATATGTCTGATCAATTCAGATAAGAGCTCTTAACCATTCAAACTCTGTATAATACTTAATCATTCAGAGGCAAATCTCTTAACCATTCAGACATCTGAATCATTAAGAGGCTGAAACAAACAGTCTGAACCATTAAGTGCTGAATCATTCAGACATCTGAACCATTAAGAGACTGAAACAAACGGCCCCTTAATTTCGTATGTACAATTATGAATTAGACCTTTTTATGTTGTTAATTTGTTATGTTTTTATTACGAAGTTGAATTCTTTATGTTATTAATTTGTTATGTACAATTATGAATTACCCTAGAGTATAACTTTTTTAATTGGTAATTGGTTATGTTTAATTGTAAATTATAAAGGAAACAAAAAAATTAATTTGATAATTACTTTTTCAATTGGTAATTTCTTATGGGTTTTTATGAATTACGGAGTACCCCGAGTATAAAGGAAACAAAAAATACTTAATTACATAATTTTTTTACAATTTCGAAATACGAAGGAAACCAAAAAAATTCTTAAATTGATAAATTTTTTTTAAATTTTGAAATATGAAGGAAACCAAAAAACTTCTTAATTTGATAATTTTTTTAAATTTCGAAATATGAAAAAAATCGAATTTCATTAATTTTGCATGTACTACATGTGAAATCTTTTTAAAAAACTGGGAAAAAGTTTGAGTGGTGAAAGTTTGATGTTGATGTTTTTTTAAATTTCGAAATATGAAAAAAAATCGAATATATTTAATTTTACATGTACTACATGCGAAATTATATTTAAAAATACTGGAAAAAAATTTGATGTTGATGTTTTTGCATGTAGTACATGCGAAACAAAAAAAATAAAAAATAAAAAAGAAATTGCATGTTATACATGCGGAAGTTGGAGTGGGGAATTTGCTCCTCCAAAACTTCCCACTGAGGGAATTGCTCCATAATCCTCTCCCCCACTCTTTCTCACCCTGTTCATTTCTCTCCATTCTCAAATCTCTCTCAAGCGTTGTCTGTTTTCTTCTCGCAGACGGTCTGTTGCCGTCTCTCTCTCTCCTTACGGCGTTGTTCCCGGTCGCTGCCCATTAAAAATAGTCACCGCCGCATACCATCTTTCTTCTTCATCAACAGATTTACAGATGTCCCTTCCTTCCCGATCGCCGCCACACGCCATCTCTCATCGTCTTCACCCAGTATGCTGTGGATGCCATCTCTCATCGTCTTCACCCACCACTGTTTTTGTCGCTCCCCATCATCATTAGGTGATTATTTATTTATTTTTTTTGAATCAATATTCTATTCTTTGGGTTCTTTTCATCTTTAATATGGAAAAATTATTCTTTGCGATCCAGGTGCATAAAATTGCGATTCAGATTTAAAGTAACGTCCTTTGAAAAATTTACATCGACCTTGAGTATGGTTGACCAGAAATTGTTTACATTTTTCGTCCAAATTTCATAGACATTAAATGTCTTTGGTAGTGAGGTACAGATATTATAGTGTCTCTGAATTACTTATTCACCAATGCACATTTTCGATGAATGTTAATTATTTATAATAAGATTATATATGAGTTTGGTCAATGAAAAATGAAAAGATATGGAGTTCCACTAATGTGTTTCTTGTACAATTTATGTGAGTGTTTTACTTTGTTTCAATCGCACAAGAAATTTATGAATTTTTACAATTTAGAATTATGTGAGTGTTTAATCTATTTGTATTTGGTTATTAAACTTTTGTGCATATTTGAAGTGGTATTTACATCACCAATTGGACTATTTTGGGTTGTCTTGGTATGATATGGCATATATGGGTTTTGTTATGGCCTCTCAAAGCTAAGCTTTAGAACCTCTTCTAATGATTTTGAGCTTTACTTGTCCTGTTCAATGATTTCTTGCAGCCAGATATAGAACCCTGCCTTGCTCCTTCGGCTTTCGTTCTCCATGTTTGTGACTGAATCAGGTCAAGCTTTTATGGATCTATATGGAGTTCCTCTCAAATTTATATCTAATCCAAGATTACCTTAGGCTTTTAGATGTTAGGATTCACTGAGTGTGAGTTTTTTTGTATTTGTTTGCTTTTTGTCTATAATTATATGTATTACATTACCATACTAATCGATATGGACTCAAGATGCTACACGTCTTTTGTGTTTTCTTCATAAACATTTTTGTTTGTGATGGTAAATAATCTTGATGGGATTGTTTTTCTTAAGGACACATAGAACTCCTAAACGTTTACAGTCTGATTTTTTAATCACAAACACTAAGAGTGTAATCACAGACACTAAATTTCTGTGAATGCCTAAATACAGGGACTTACTGTCTGTAAATTGTTCAATTAATGAAATTAACTGCATATAAAAATAAATCTCACTGATAGGCAATGTATTGGTTGGAATGTATACTTAGTTCTGATTTAATTGTGTTATGCATTTTCATAATGTGTTACCAACACGATACATTCGTGAGCAGATGCACTCAATGCATTAAATAAGCCAAATAATCTAGTTACAAAGACATTTCACGATTTGTTGGGACAAGAAAAACAAATTGAAATTTAGAACTGTTTGACCACACATACATTATATGTTTGTATTTATTTAAACACAACTTTTTAATTTTGTGTATCTTTTATGAAAATTACACTTGTCAAATAGTCTAATAATTTGTAAAAAGAAACAAATGAAGTAAGAAGCCTTTGGTCACACAAATACTATATATTTGTAACTTTTTAAATGCAAAAAAAAATATGAAGTTTTTGGTCGCATAGACACTAAATGTATGTAATTCTCCTAAACACTTTGCATAACTTGGATGAAAATTGCAACTGTAAAAATGTCAATTAAATTAGTTTCAAACATATTTTGTAATTTGGTCACACAGACACCGTAAGTTTTTAATTATCTAAATACCGACATTTAATAGTTGTTTTTAATGTATGAAAATCGCACTTGTCAAATATACCAAATAATACAATAATAAGAATATTTCATGATATTTTTCTTATTTTGCAAAAATATACTAAGTACAGATTATGTTTTGGTCACACAAACAACAAGTGTCTGTAATTCATCGTAAACAGAAACTTATTGTGTGTAAAACCTAAATTAAAAATTACATCTGTCAAATATACCAAATAATGCTATCATAAAGAATGTTTCACAATTACTCTTGATTGTAAAAAAGAAAAAAATTATAATTACCAATGTTTAATTACACAAACACTAAAAATCTATCATTCTTGATACACAGATATTTATTATTTGTGTAATTCAGATGAAAATTTCACCCTTCAAATTTATGAAATAGTACAGTACCAAGAACATTTCACAAATTTTTCTACGTTTAAAAAAAGAAAAGAAAAATTAAAATTAATACTATTTAGTCACACAAACATTAAACGTCTTTATTTTCTTGAACATAGACATTTGCTATTTGTGTAATCTGAATAAAACAGCACCACCATCTCTGCCATAATTTATTGCTCCGGTGACGCTACTAACGACAAACAAAGTCATTATGGCGGTGTGGGAGGAGCGAGCAATGACGAGAAAACAGGTGGCGGTGAAGGATTCGAAGGAGTTGTTCGTTGCCCTGCTCCGATCCAGATCTTGATGATGATGATGATGCCGCTCTTGGATGCTTCATGGGGAACTCACGCCGTGAACCTTCTAGGCAGCAAAGAGGATGGGGCGGCAGAATCCCAGGTTCGAATTTTGTGGAGGCAAAGATAAACGTGTGGAGTTGCGTTGATCACCGGCGGGGAAGAAAGAAAGATGGGAGATCTAGAGATGAAGAGAGAGTTGAGGGAGAAGATGGGGAATTTATGAGAGAAAAATGAGAGATCTAAAGATGACAGAGAAAGGAGAGAAATGAGGGAGAAGATGGGGAATTAGTGCAATGGAAAGAGAAGAAAAGGAAGTGGGGTTAGTGAGGGAGGAGGGGGGGAGTATATGGTGTGCAATTGGGGTACACCACAATTAGTTAAGGATAGTTCAGAAAAATTTGTAGAACGGAACAAAATTTCGTTTAAAAATTCATATCATATCAATCATCTAAAATTCATTAAGTGATCATTTACTGATATTGCTTCGGTCAAGATGAAGTGCATTAATGATACTCCGTATTCAACTTCGCACGTAAATCATTTTATTAGTTTCTTGATTTGATTAGTTTCTTGATCGAAACAACTTCAAGTGAAGGAAGTCCTATACTCCATCTAAAGCAAGAAAAAAGGGTTGACGGCTAAAGGGCAAAAGCCTCTATTCAAATTGTATGTTTGGGTATGGTCAGAAAAGGTTTTTTTAGGCAAGAAAAGGTTTGTGTTTCAGTTTTCATAAAGAAAAATGGTAACAGGAGGTTGTTTTATGCTTGTCAACCAACAATCGAGCATGAAAATGCCCAATGGCCAATTGGTCGCATAAAAATGGCATCTTAAAAGCCACAAACATTAACATTAAAGAAACATGGTGACAGGAGGAGAATGCACATTAGTTACATATTCATTTCAGCTCCTGAGATTTATTGTGAACAGAAAAAGATTCAAATTACACAGCACATTTTGTCCATAGAGTCGCAAATTCCAAAATAGTTAAACACAAGACTGAAGGACGATGGTCATGTATAAACACAAGTGTTACGGACTTGGACACAATCAAACCAGAAGGCTTATCACCAAGCCTAACCATTTATTTCTTACTCGTGTTTTTTTCCCCTCTGAGCTTGACACCAAGAGCCCTCTCCAGTTTAACAATTATTTGCTGATTCGGAATTGCCTTTCCAGACTCATACTCCTGAACAATTTGCACTTTCTCATTTATAAGCTGCACAAACAAGAGAAATGGATCGGAACATTATTATTGAACATGTGTTTGCAGACAGCTGTAACATACACTATCTACAACATTTGACTCTCTATGAGCAAAGAAGGTAAAAGTGGAAAGATACTTGAGAAAGCTGAGCTTGGGTCAATTTTTTGGCATTCCGAGCTTGAATAATAGCAGTCTTCAACTCAGAAGGAACCTTTGGAACTGGAAGTGAAAAATCAATTTGGTACAAAAAAATCTGTATTATAACTTTGCGACAGCTGCTAAAGTGTGAGAGCAAAAACATTGTCTACAAAACTGGTAAAATGAAATTAATATATTAATATCTATCAGCATGATTGGGTAAACAAGTCATAAAGCAGGAACAATATGAGTGCAAGATTTCAGTACTTAATTCCACGGTGTGATGAACCTAGGTGGCACAGACACCTTAAAATGCATGAGTGTCCAAGTCCAAGGGTCGGATACAGTGAAATGCATAGGGCATAGCTAGTAGATGTGTCTAACATGCCAAATGGTGCCTTTTATAGGACAAACATCAAGAGTAAGGGACACGGGCTTGAGCCGTCTAGGCACAGCTGGGGCGCAAAATTTGCTTCTTAGTTACATATTTTCTATAAAAATGAATTTATTGAAAAATTAACAGTCAACTTCAAAATTTTAAAACATACTCTGCATATACCATTTTTTACCACTGCTTTGTAAGAGTATCTGACCCTTAGACCCCAGAGTTAAAACTATACTCCTTCGGTCCCTGTTGGACTTGGTACCGGGACTACCAAAAGTAAAATTGTGTGATTCAAAAATAATTTGAGCCACAAAAGAAGAAATGTTGAACCTTTTCGTGGGACGGAGGGAGTATTAGGTTTGTCGTTGTATGAATATTTGTAATGAAAACATTTGAACAACTAATAATTTTCCTATTTACATAAATTGAATACTAGTGAGGTGTAGCATTTCTTTAAATATAAAGCTTAAAGCCTGTTTGCATTTGGAAAACTTTAAATAGAGCCTCACGTTAAACGGATAAAGGAAATTATTAAATAAAAAGTACACAATATCATGCCTTCGAAAAGAAAAAGAATTGTTATGAAAGGATTTCTTATGTATAAAGAAATCTAGATGGAAAAGTATCTTACGAGTCAGATTCTCTGTTTCTTCATCAAGCTTCCTTGTGTTCAGAGTTGTGCTACTTGAGGCAGCCTTGTTTGTACCAGCAGTAGCTGCAGAGTAATAGAACAAACTTGTGATCACATCATACCAAATACTCTCGGTCTGTATTACTTACCACCCGAATACTATCCCAAGTCAAAGAGACGAATACGGTGCATCATCACTTCTAGGTTCTCCCAAGAAGCAGACTAAATTCAACTAAGAAAAAGTTCTTATCTAATTAGGAAAGCATGAAGCCAAAAATGGATCCACCCGAATACTCTCCCTAGTCAAAGAGGCACGAATACGGTGCATCATCACTTCTGGGTTCTCCCAAGAAGCAGACTTTTTAGGATGAATTCAACTAAGAAAAAGTTTTTATCTAGTTAGGAAAACAAGAAGCCAAAAATGGATCCCCCACATTAAGTGTTGTAAATCAACTTGCCGCAAGAGAGATCGAAACTCCCATACCACACACAGTGACACCAGATGAATATCAAATTGACCTAATTCAAAAAATGGGCAGTTTGCATCGGCCATCACACAGAACGTACGAAACCAAAGCTATAGGAGCAATTGCATAGAACCAGAGGCAACAAATCAAATAAGGATACAACTATACGCAGATTTACATGTGCCACAGAGGAAGGACCATAGAAATGTTCAATCGAATAGAAACCGGATGAACAAAGTTCAGATATAACAACAAAAGCGCAATATGAACATTTTGAAATTACCCAATAAAGCCCTAAAGGGACCGTAATCAACACGGTATCGATGGAGATCTATAAGCGCCTACGAGCGAAAAATAAAATTCGAGATGGATAAGGAGAAAAGGAGATTTACACTTTTTTACGGTTTCGACCTCGGCGCCTACGCGACGGGCAAGGTTGACGGCATTTTTATCCTTGCTAGCAGCGGCTGTTGGCGCCTTCTTGCGGATAACTACGGGCTCCCAGTCTTGGCGAATCGGTCCATTCATCTTAGTCTCTCTTTCCTTCCCTCTCCTGATTCACAGATGACTTTCGCTGGTGTGCGTGCAATGACGACGAAGACGACGACTGTGAAAAGCAGCCCTATCTCATCACGATATATATGGATCTCACAAAAGTCACACGGAGTCCAAATATATATATTAACTCCAATTAAACATTGGCCCAATCACCAAAATTAATCTCGGATCTGGACCATGCTACAAATCTACAATACGATGGATGGGAATTTCGTCGAATGAGATAATCAAATTCATATCTGTTTTTATCAAAAATTTTCACATTCTTTTAAGGTGGCTGTTACCCGTTTTTTATTAAGGATATCCGATTGGTAAACGAATATGGATTTGGCAATCATACTTCGATATGTTTATAATTCGTTTCGCATATACATTCGTTTGAATATCTGTTTATCTGTGTATTCAATCCATTATATATAGTTTTTCCCAACTTTATTTATATATATTTTTAATTAATATTTCGAAGTATAAGATATCTTTATACGTGTGTCTGTGTAGTATGTAATACTAATTTTACCATATGGAGTTTCATAAAATAGTATAGATTGCAAAAAATAATTAAAATACTACTCCATAACAATTTATAATTGGATGAATATATCAAAAGTGTTTATATACTATATAATTCAGTTTGACTTTGAAAATTTAGAAACATATGCGGATATATCTGATATCAGATTGGTATCTAATAGATGTAGATATGGTTTTGATTCATAACATTCGTCAATATTTGTATTCAAATTTGAAAACCGGTAAAAATACGCCGATACGAATCTAATAATGTCACATCTGATTCGATTAACATCAACTTACACCCCTATCTAATATTTGGAATTATTTGAATAATACACAAAGCTAATTCTTGTTTAAAAAATGGGTGGCGCTTAATTCTCGAATTAACACTTTAGGTGTGCTTTCAGCACTGATCTAGTACATCTTATATGTTTGCACTATTATTTTGTAATTCACGGACTAGCGATTTAGGTGCACCTTTGTCACTCATTCTTTTTTTTATAGAAAGAAAAGTAATAAATTCATTTTAGTTAAATGAAAAAAGTAGTAAATTTTACTTGGTTACAAAATAGAATATTTACTCATATCCTCATAAATATGTGATGGGCCGTTGGGCCAACCGAGCAGCCCAGTCTAAAAGTCCTCTACGACCCACGGAGCTCAACAAAGCCTACAGAGGATCTAGGCCCGAAGACAAAAGAGTGGGCCAAAAGCGGGCTGGTCTGTTGTACCCTTGAACCGTGATGGGCACACAACCAATGAAGGAGAGTTGTGGCTAGTGTACGAGAGGCGGCAACTTTTACGGATCTACTGAGAATTTTACGCGATTTGGATACCTTATTTGTTAATTTTCTTAAATGTATTATGAGAACCCTATAAATAGGGAAGGGACGCCATGAGCACGCTAAATTTAAACCGAGCTGATTGTCACTGCAAGTTTCTGTATGTTCAAGCACTACAAATTCAATAACACACCTGATCTGATCACCAAGTTAGATCTTCTGGTGAAATTCTTGTCAATCAAATTGGTGCTCTCATTAAGAGCTTGAGAGATTTAGCTCAAGAAAACCTCTAAGAAACGATGGTGCAAACACGCAGCAACGCCAACCAACCCACCGCCAACCCACACCAAGAGGAAGGTAGCGCCACCGGAGGCCGCTAGATCCCGATTTGCCTAAGTTAATACCAGGTTAGTGAGGGCTATTTACTTAAAAGAGTGGTGGGGGAAATTGGTTGGCTCTTTGGTGCCAACTCTCCACAACCTTGGTTCTTGTTAGTTCTACAAATTTGAGAATTAATGATGAGGTAAAGGATAGTTTCATACCTCAGCATCAAACCAAGGTTAATTTCCTTTTCAAATTAATAAATACTTAATCTCTTCTCTTGATCTTCTCTGTCCATTGAAAATACTCTCAAGACAACTTCTCTTTTTAAGTATGCTTATTTCCCTTGCATTTCTTTGTTTTGTTAAATTGTTCTTACTTACTTTCTTAAAGAACAAACCCCCCTGTGTGTGTGAGTTGTTTTTGGTTGAATGTTTTATACTTTTAATATACTATTTTGGCTATAGAAGTTATAGGAAAAGTATTTTCTAATTACTCTCCTCGTGGATATAATCCCTTATTTGCTACTATACTACCTTTTATGAATTTAGTGGTTTCAAAAGGGTATTAAATTTGTACACCCTGACAAGGTGTTAACATTTATAATCCGTTTCGCCGCTGTTAAATGCGATTCTTTTGGATATGATTGATACCTTGCACAGAGAGAAATATTAAACATGATATAGGGTCTACTAGGGTAATATAAAGAAGGAATCCGATCATACCTCGATACTTCGTAACATATACTTTTTTACCCTTTTCATCACTGTCTATGTGCTCATCGGTGTAGCCATGGCTTTGGCATTTTCCATTTCAAATCACTTTAGTAACTCCTTGCAATATTTGGTTTGACAAATGAAAGTACCTTCTTTCATTTGTTTGACTTGTAAGCCCAAGAAGTAGTCAAGCTCTCCCATCATAAACATCTCGAATTTGTTGGTGATAAGTTTGGAGAACTCCATTGCACAAAGACTCTCTAGTAACACTGAAAATAATATCATCTACGTAAACTTGTACTAAGAGAATGCATTTGTTTGTACTCTTGATGAAAAGTGTAGCATCAACTTTCTCCCTTTGGAATCAATAGTCCAAAAGAAATTTGCTCAACCGCTCATACCAAGCACGAGGTGCTTGTTTGAGACTGTAGAGTGCTTTCTTGAGCTTGAAGACATAGTACGGGTGCTAAAAGTCTTCAAATTCTGGGGGTTGATTAACATAAACTTCCTCTTGAATAAAACCATTGAGTAAGGCACGCTTAACATCTATTTGGTATAGTTTAAAGTCCATAGATGAGGCAAAGGCAAGTAATCGACGAATAACTTTTAAATGTGCTACTCGTGCATAAGTTTCTTCAAAATCAATGCCTTCTTCTTGATTGTAGCCTTTAGCTACGAGCCTAACTTTGTTTCTAGTAATTATTCCATTTTAATTGAGTTTGTTACGGAACACCCATTTTGTACCAATTAGGGTATGATCATCAGGTCTTGGCACCAATTCTCATACATCATTACGTTTGAATTTGTTAAGCTCCTCTTGCATTTCCAAGGTCCAATGTTCATGATTAATTGATTCTGAAATGGTTGTAGGTTCAATTTGGGAAACAAAAGCCATGTGTGATGTAGTGTCCCTTAAAGCGTTACGAGTACTTACCCCGCGGTGAATGTCACTGATTACCTTATCAAGAGGGTGATTTTTGGAGGTTCTCCAAGCCATCAGCATTTGTGCTTCTTCTTGCAGTTGTTCCTTGTTAAAGGATTGCTCCGTTTCTTTGTCTTGAACTTACTTTGGACTCTCTTCTTCCTCCTCTTCTTTGTTTTAGAGAAAGATTTTCTCCAAAGAATCTGTAAGTTCATCACAAAAATCCTTTTTAACCAAGCGAGTATCATTCACAACAAAGACAACGTGAGGTGATTCCAACAAGGTTAAGGTGCGTTTGTTGAAAACTCTATAAGCCTTACTCCACAACAAATAACCAAGAAAAATTCCTTCATCCGACTTTGCATCAAATTCTCCCAAGTTATATTCCCCATTATTGTGAACAAAACATTTACAACTAAAGAATCGAATATGGGACATATTTGGCTTTCATCCTTTTTTTAATTCATATGGGATTTTCATGAGTATCGGTCAAATGACGGCTCGGTTTAACACGTAGCTAACCATACTCACAACATCTTCCCAAAAACAGTTAGGAATTTTAGCCACATCGAGCAAAGTTTTAGCCATCTCCTCAAGATATCAATTTTTTTATTCCACCACTCCATATTGTTGTGATGTACGTAGAGCGAAAAAGTTATGCTCAATGCCAAGTTCATCACAAAACTCGGGAAAGAGGTTCCTTTCAAACTATCCACCATGATCGCTTCTTATGGCTACAATAGAAAGATTCTTTTCATTTTGAACCTTTTTAAGAAAAGTTTTTAAAAAAATGCCTCACTTTTATGATTTAGAAATAATGCCCATGTGAATCTAAAATAGTCATCAATAATCACAAAGGAAAAATAGTTACCACCGAAACGTTTTGTTCTAGATGGCCCAAAGATATCCATGTGTAAGAGTTGTAGGGGCCTTGTTGTAGACACAACATTTTTCGATTTAAAAGAAGCCCTTACTTTCTTCCCTTTTTGACATGAATCATAAATGGCATCTTTCTCAAACTTAAGTTTAGGGAGGGCTACTACTAAGTCTTGCGAAACCAATTTATTCAAAAGGTTCATGTTAACATTAGCTACTCTTTGGTGCTAGCCACATATCATCATCTGTTGGGAAAAATATCATAGATTTTGATGATGATGTATTTAGAATGTAATAGGGACTTTAGGTCTCCCCCAATATTCAATGTAATTTTTCTTTTTAGAAATATTGTTAAAACCAAGTTCTTGAAATTTCCAATAAGGTTATGATATTTCTTTAAGCGTTTTGATGCCTGAAGACTTAATCAAATTCAGTGATATGGAAATTGGATATCTTAATCGGAAATGCTAGAGACAAGTAAGGATTTCTCAAGTAGATGAAAATCCTCTGATCCGGAAGACTACATAAGAACCGGATGTCTCGCTACAACCCGCTAAAGACTAAGTCACCCAAATCGGAAGACTAGCGCGGATCTCTTTCTCACCCGGAAGTCTGAGAATGACTCCTCTGGATTTGTCAGCTAAGAACCGGATGCCTCAAGGAAGACCGGAATTCTCAAAAAGCGGACAAGTGAGAAAAGACTTAGAAAATTATCTATGTCTTGAATGAAGAAATTCTACCCGTTGGTAAGGAAAAATCAATTTCTTGATTTTCAACGGCTAGATTGAAGATAATTATGCTGATTCAAGAACAAATGACTCGAAGACAAAGTCTGAACCTCTAAGAATTGAAGAACCTGTCCAGAATTCCTAAACAAGGACTAGAAGACAAACAGAGTAAAGTTCTACAGTCCAGAATACTTGAACAGCAGCTAGAAGACGGACTCTATGGAAAAAGGAATCTCTCCTTTAACAGATGGGTATGTCCAAACACCCATTCCAATGAGGAATCTTCAAATCACAATCTTCATTCAAAATTGAAGCCAGCAAATGCAACGAATAGTCTATTATGATTCAACGAATAGATTATCCAATCCAGCTATAAATAGCATCCTTGGAAGACTGGAGAAAATAATGAGATACAACAACACAACGAAGAAATCTCTAACAACAAAGCTATCTCATTCACAGTTAGCCCAAAAAGCTTGATAAAGAGAGATTTCTAAACTCCTTATCCAGAAGCAAACTTCTCCCCCTTCCAAAGAGCTATAGTGTAAACACTTGAAGGTTTCCTTGCCTCAAGCACCACACCACGTTGAAGGATATTACTTTTGATCAAACTTATTGATTAAAAGGGGGTAGGTCAACTCTCTTACAAGTTGATCTTGCAAGTCCTATTGTTCGGA